TGCTGCTGCTGCTGCTGCTGCTGCTGCTGCTGCTGCTGCTGCTGCTGGATGAGGCTGAGGTCGGAGCGGCCGAGGTCGGCTCTGGCGGCCGCGGGCACCGGCCGCGCCGTCAGCAGCACCGCGGCCAGGCCGAGGAGCAGCGCGCAGGGCGCGCGCGGGCACCGCCTCGCCATGGCCGAGAGCCAGCGGGCCACCGCGGCATATTGCGCGGCTGCGGGCGGCGGCGGGCGCCGGGGCTGCGGAACCCGGCCGCGCCCGCTCGCTCGCTCCCCCTCGCGCTGTCTGCGGCGCACAGCCGGGGCGGGAGGAGGAGGAGGGCGGGCGGGCAGGAGGACGGGGAGCCGGCGTTCGCATCCTCGCGCACGTGACCGCCGGGAGGGGCGAGCGGCGGGAGCCCCCAGAGGCCGCCCGGCAAGCGCTCGGCCCGGCACGACTGTGCCCAGGCGCTTAGCTGGGTCACACCCACAGGGGGGACTTTCTCGGGGCTGGAGACCTTTAGACCCCTGTACAACATGGACTAGAATTCCTCCTGCTTGACCCCGAGGTAGAAAAGAAAGTGACACGCTCATTCCCTTCGAAAAGCAACGAGGCCCTGTGGCTCGAAAGCCAGGCTCCCTTAGCGGAGTCCTCCCCGCTGTGCCACGGCCCACTGACAAACAGATGCTCTCAGTAAACTTTTGTCTTCCTGCTTAAATGAGGATTTCTCTCTTCATCATAAAATGTTCCTAATTCCACCTTTTCTAGGTGTAACCCGTGCTTTCCATATGTGTTGAGGTTCTGTTTGTTTTGTTTTTTAACAACAACACAAACAGACTTGGTGGCGTCAGCAGGCAGAGGCTGGCGAGTGTGGGGCCAGCCTGTTCCACCCAGTGAGTTCCAGGACAGCCAGGGCTGTGTAGAGAGACCCTGGGTCAAAACGAAACAGGAAACAAACAAAAGTCTCATTTAGCAAATGCTTAGCTAGATGCTAACTGTGCCTTTCGCCAGGAGCTCAGGGTACGGAAAAGAGAACCGCTTCATTCCGAACACTTGCCACCTGTTAGGCAAAGCCAAGCGCAAGCAAAACAGTCCGCTGCGGCGGCTGCCGCAGAAGGAGACTGCACAGAGCCAACGGAAGGCGTGGAAGACCCTGGAGAAGGCGGGCTGTGCACAGAAGAGAGATCTATAGAGAAACAGAAGTCACGCGGGTGCCTGAGCGTGTGTGGCAAGCATGAAAGCTCAGTGGAGACTGGCAAGCTGTTGAAAAGTGACTAGCAGACAGCTGCACAGCACGTATTGTGCAGGGCCCCGCTCCGGCGTTTCAGACTAAGCAAGCAGAGATCTACGCCAAAGACCGCTCTGAGGACAGTTACGAGGAGAGACAGCCTGCCAACCAGGCGTCTTCCGGAGGACCACTTTGCTATGAGCGTGAAAGACAGACTGGAGGGGGAAAGGAAGGGAAGACAGACGTCCACATCAGCGGCATTTGTCCTAAAACAAACATAAAAACAAAACAAATAACAAAATAGGAGAGGCTGCCAGAGACACCTGAGCCTGAAAACAAAGGGAGAGGCAGGGGAAACGGCATTTAAGGTGGGGATCAACAGAGAGCCTTGGGATTAAGGGCCTGCGCCCACCACCTGCAGGAGAGTGACTTTCCAGAGCTGCTCCGATGAAATAAGCAAGGGGTGTTTGTAAATACCTGTTATGATTTTGCCTTATACAGGCGTCTTTACATTCTTGGCCACAGTAATTTTCCACCGCCGAGTAGGGGGGAACGCCGCTCCAGCCTTGGCCGGCTATGAAATAAAGAGTGAGGTCCCAGCGGCAAGGCAGATCGTAGGTAGGACTTCCCGCAGGCAGTCCAAAAACAAACTCTAGTGTGTCCAGCTGGGGCCCTTCACTGTAGGCCTACACTTTAGCCAATCTTGAGTCTGTCCTAGGCAGCCACCCAAGGTCGCCATTTGGCAGCTGAGACCTCAAATTAGACACACTGGACCCAGAACTCGGGAGGCCAATGCAGGCAGATGGCTGTGAGTTCGAGGCCAACTATAAAGAGAAACCCTGTCACAAACAAACATCAGGATCTGAGGTGTATATTAAACAGTTATTTTACCTTAAAGTAAGTAAACGCATATTCCTTTACCAAACTTTTACCATAAGGCCAAGACTTCTGACATCTAACCAGTCTAGGACACGAAGAAAAAGCCAAATGAATAGGCACCACCATGTTTTATAGCTCTTTACCACTGAGCCATCTCTCCTTTTCAACAAACAAGTCTCTCGTTTACAAATTAAAAAAAAAAAAAGGTTTATGAGAAAAGTGACCTAGGACAACGGTATTTAAAATGACACTGAAACCCACCAATATACTAGCAAAAGTTATAAATGCTCCATTTTAACAAGTAGTTTTTATATCCAATCATTAAAAAAAAAAAAAAAAAAAAAAAACCCACAAAGTGTGTGTGTTACTTTCCTGCCACTTTAGTGACTAGTGGGACAGGAAACCTGAAGCTACCTTAATGGGCTTTCAGTGTGTTCCACTGTACAGTCTCTGCATCCAGCTTCCTGTCGAGCATTTATGAGATATACAACAGCAATCTTGAAGGACCTTCCTCAAAAACATATATAGGATGATCTTTTCCAGTTCCCACCATTTGCCTGCAACTTTCATGATTTCCTTGTTCTTAATTTCTCAGTAGTATTCCATTGTGTAAATGTACCACAATTTCTGTAGCCATTCCTCAAATGAGGGACATCTGGGTTGTTTCCAGCTTCTGGCTATTACAAATAAAGCTGCTACAAACATGGTTGAGCAAATGTCCTTTTTGTGTACTTGAGCATCTTTTGGATATATGCCTAGGAGTGGTATGGCTGGATCTTGAGGAAGCGCTATTCCTAATTGTCTGAGAAAGCGCCAGATTGCTTTCCAGAGTGGCTGTACAAGTTTACATTCCCACCAACAGTGGAGGAGGGTTCCCCTTTCTCCACATCCTCTCCAGCATGTGTTGTCACTTGAGTTTTTTTTTTATCTTAGCCATTCTGATGGGTCTAAGGTGAAATCCCAGGGTTGTTTTGATTTGCATTTCCCTGATGACTAAGGAGCATTTCTTTAAGTGTTTCTCTGCCATTTGATATCCCTATATTGAGAATTCTGTTCAGCTCTGTACCCCATTTTTTAATTGGATTACTTGATTTGTTGCATGAAATTTGCAGGCAAATGGTGGGATCTAGAAAAGATCATCCTTAGTGAGGTATGCCAGACACAGAAAGCCACACATGGTATATACTCACTCATAAGTGGATATTAGACATATAATAAAGGATAAACATACTTAAATCTGTACACCTAAAGAAGCTAAGCAAAAAGGAGGACCCTGGGTAAGATGATTAATTCTTACTCAGGAAGGCAAATGGGGTGGACATCAGAAGAGGGAGAAAACAGGGAACAGGACAGGAGCCTACCACAGAGGGCCTCTGAAAGACTCTACCCAGCAGGGTATCAAAGCAGATGCTGAGACTCAAAGCCAATCTTTAGGCAGAGTGCAGGGAATCTTGTGAAAGAAGTGGCAGATGAAAGACCTGGAGGGGACAGAGCTCCACAAGGAGAGCAACAGAACCAAAAAAAATCTAGGCACAGGGGTCTTTTCATGGAGATAACTAGAACCCCTGCAGAGATGTAGCTCATGGCAGCTCAGTCTCCAAGTTAGTGCCCTACAAAGGGAACAGAGACTGTCTCTGACATAAACTCAGTGGCTGGCTCTTTGATCACCTCCCTGAGCAGGGAGTAGCCTTACCAGGCCACAGAGGAGGACAGTCCTGATGAGACCTGATAGGCTAGGGTCAGTGGGAAGGGGAGGAGGACCTCACCTATCAGTGGACTTGGAGAGGGGCATAGGGGAAGAAGAGGGAGGGAGGGTGTGACTGGGAGGGAATAAGGGAGGGAGCTACAGCTGGGATACAAAGTGAATAAACTGTAATTAACAAATACATAAATTAATTTTAAAAGACGTATATAGGATGGTCCATCCACGTTGAGCTCACTTCCAGTGTGCTGAGCTCTCTTGCTGGGTCAGCGTGTTTCAGATCCTGTGGCACGCGCTGTCTTTATCAGTTACAGGTCCTGATGCTGATCCCCACCCTCACCGCAGCCAGGCTGGGATAAGGGAGCAGGATGGATTCAGGTGTTAGGAATGTTTTCTTCCACTAGAACTATCGATACATAAAAACTCAGGAAATGAAGTGGTAAATGTGTATTATTTAAAGCACCCTGATGGGGTAAAAATAATAAAGCTCAGTGCCAACAAAAATTAGAGATTATTTATTTAGAAATAAAAACATTCTCACATTTCCAGCAAATCTGCATTTACCCTAAGGACTTCTACTTTCTTGGTGTATTGTGGTATACAAAGCGGAGGGTTGCACAGATGACATTTTCTCCAGTCATCATGTACTATGAACACACCTCATATGAACCTCTCTTCTCTCTCCCTTCCCGCTGCCTGCCTTCCTCTTCCCCTTCAACTTTCTTGGCGTTATCTAATATGTGTGTCATAATCAACAGGTAAGAGAAAACATGCAACGTCTTTCTGATCCTTTTCTTTACTGAGTTTAATGATCTCACCCATTTCCTGCAAATAATGGCATTCTTTATTGCAGAATAAAATTCTGTTGTAATACACATTTCATTCACCCATCCATCCATTTATAAACTCCTACACTGACCCTGTAACTTGGCTATTGAGATATAACAGTACTGAACAGAGCCAAAATAAACATGGATGAGCAAGTGTACAGATGGCTAATACTGAGTATTTTTCATGTATTTACCAGCCCCTTTTACTTCATCTTTTCAGAAATGCCTGAGGATTTTATCTGTTCATTTAATTGACTGGATGGCTTAGCTTTGTGGGGTTTAGTTTCCTGAGTTCGTCACAAATTCTAGATATTAGTTCTCTGCGGGTTATAGAGCAGAGACTGTCTTCGGTTCTGTGGGAGGCATCTTCACTCTGTTTCCTTGGATATGCAGAGGCCTTTTCATTTCAAGCAATCTCACTTGCCCATTCTTCCTATTATTTCCAGAGTCATTGAAATGCTAAGAATGTATTTTCCTCCCTAAGAATGTGGCTTTATCTTTGTTGATTTCCTTCCTTTAGATAACTAATACTCTTTAAAAAAACAAAAAAAACAAAAACTGAGCTTTTAGGGAGCTGTGTCACAGCCCTCAGGCCGCTGTCTGAATGGCTCCTGTAATTAAGAGCGAGAAGATCATAGGACAGGATAGAGCCCACACAGGAAGCTGACTCCGCACCTTCAAGTTTATTGTATCACAAATTACACACTGGAAACAAAGCAGAACATGGAGCCTGCTTCACTAACTCAAAGCAAGCTAGCAAACGACAGATTTCAGAATAGACTCATTCTATGTCTCACCCAATGTGGGCGATCACGAGAGAAGCCAAAGAAAATTACCTTCCATGTTACTTAGCAAAGTAATTTGATACACATAGCTTCCAAGTTATCTTGATAGACTGAGAGTGTTTTAAAACTGGTAAGGAATAGTTTTCCACCTAAAATAAAATGCAGAATGGATGGTTTAGAGGAAAAAAAAAAAAACACTTCACTTGTGTATCTATAACTACAGCAGAATTGTTCTTTTCTGCTAACAACAACAAAAAAAACAACTAATAAATGTCTACTCAGATTATGATTACTAAAAGTGATTTATATTGTCTAAGCTCCGTTACATCGTTATATTGCACTTGAGAACAATGACAACGGAATTCAAAGATTCAGTACCCCTCATAGAAAGTCCATGACGTCTCAGGAATTACAGCGAAGCCAGTGTATACTGCAGGTTCATGGTCCAAACAGAAGGACCGACAAGTCCAAGGAAGCCCTTTATAGGTCACTGGACATTTAGCAATTTTATTTGCCTTGGTAGATCCCAGAATACATTTTTGCTCGTCTTTTCCCCTTACTCGTCAGATTACACGTACAAGCCACCCGCAAGTGAAAACACAGTGACACTCAGATAGGCAACAGCCACACACAGATATTCTAGAACAGCTCTTTCCTCCACCAGGCTCTTCCCAGAATTCTCCCACAGGGGAACAGGCGCCATCTTGGCATTCTCCAAGAACCAGCTGCTTTATCCATACTTTGCCACCAAAATCCTCCTCCTTAGGGTTAGGCTCACCATCAAAAGTCTTAGAGAGTTAGGCTCTCTCTAAGCAGCAGCAAAACTCTGTCTGCTATGAGTCAATTTCCTCATTATGTAACTAATGTTGTATTGATGAGGATTATTAGTAAGTAATTTTATAATACAGGTTGATTTAAGACTACAATATTTTGACCATTTCACCTCTCATTGTCAGAATATAATCAGAATTATGATGATAATTAAAGGTAAGGGGGAAAGTAAGCCCAAACAGATGTTTTAAAGTAGTAACTCTAAAATAAGTATCTCCATTAGAAATCAGTATCAGTGTCAGTATTTCTCACGTGTCAAATCGACTCTGGAGCACTCAATTTTTTTTTTAACTGGACTACATTTACATTTTGAGAATTTTATACTTGGAAATGAATTTTAATTCTCAGTAAATTACAAATATGAATCTAAAATAATCTCCTGATGTTTTATTGAACATATTCATATGCTGTTATAGAATAAAAAGAATCGCAATACGTTTTCAGAGTTGACTTTGAAATTACAGTTCCTAATTTTACAGATATGAATTTATATTATATATTTTTTAAAAGAAAATCCATAATATTGTTGAAAACAACACATCATGTTAATACATGTTAATCTCCAGTTGTAACATCTTTCAATCTCTAATAGAAAATTACTCCTTGGTAAGGAAGACACAGTAGAAATAGCCGTTAACAAAATGTTGATTCATTACCAAAGAATGAATTTCATTGATTTTTTTTTTTTTTCTCAAAAATGGCAGCTATTTGTAGAAAACGAAGGTAAAAGTTCGTATGGGCCCAACTTAGTGACAGTCTGGTGCTGGGCAATACTTGGCCCTAAAATAAAAATATTTCTTAAAAGAATATAAATTTATTGGTTAAAAAGTACTTATTACATATATGATCGTGATCTTTCAAGCCATTAATAAATTCTATACCCCAAAACTCATTCATTTAAAAATTCATTAAAGCTAAATATGTCTATATTCTAACGTTACAGCTCACCCAAGTGTGCTTCATGTTATGAAAATATATTCTCCAAATTAGCTTGGCCATATATATGCACCTAGAATTAACATAAGAAATGGTGAGACAAATTTTAATTATTTTTAAAATGTAGAAAAATATTCAATTATGTAAGGGAAATATTTTTCATTGCTTAATGAGGACAGCAGTTTAAAAAGCTATTAAAATTCTCACCTTCTAGCACACACTATGATGTAATTGCCCAAAAATAGCTATAGAGGATAGTCATCCCGGGCCTTGAAGAACTGTGAATAAATCATCGCCGCTTAGAGCAGGCCCTGCTACCTCTGCTGCCTTTATTAAAGCCCCAGAAAAGCCATTTAAGAAACATAAGAAAGCTTTAGAAGGTTTTCAGCAACATAAACTGCTTACAAAAATACTTTTTAGCACTTATTCTGACAGCTGAGGCAGGCTTTATGCACTGCCCGGCATAACCTGAGGTACTACCGTGCTATCGCTACCTTTGGAATGCTGATTCCAAGCATCTCTCATGGGGTAAGAGCGGGAGATTGAGGTTCCTAAAGGTTATAAAGATGATCTTGACCCCTTCTCAGTTTTGGAAATAGAAGGAAAATAGGAGGAAAATAAATTAACACCATTTAAAAGCTCTGTTCTAATTAAAGAGTGTGTTTTTATGAGCAATTTCAGCAGAGAACTGCAGAGAAGATCTTTGAAGCTTTGTATGTTGCAGACAGCCAGACAAAGGAAGTAGATGTACTTCGGAAACGGGTTCCCAATCCTATGGCTTCAGTCATCATTGTGATTTAGCTGAAAGCACCCTATTGCTTAATGGTTATTTTTAAATCACAGAAGTTTCAGCATGAAATGGCTTAAAGGATTTGATATAGAATTTAAATTACAAACGTTAAAATATAACAAAATACAATGCAGACTAAACATAAATAAAAACCTAATTTTCATAGAAAAATACTGTACCGTTATTAATCAGGAAACTATTCCCACCTCCACCCCCACCTTGCTGATTAAATCCAGGGATCTACACATGCGAAGCACAGGCTCTGAGTCGAGCTATAGCCTGGGAAAGAATCTTGATGGTACCGTATTTTTTACAAGTTCTACTATGTAAATACTAAAATCTAAGCCATGCAACCAACTGCGAAGTCTCCAGTAGCGTACGAACTCAACTGTAGTGTAATGGCCACTAGCGTTCTAAGCACCTGTGTAAAGTCACTGATGCTAAGGTCTACGTGTGAGTTACTTTACAATCCTCACTGCCCTACTGCGCGGAGGAAATGGGAAACAGGAGCTGAAGAGGTACCATGTCACACCACGCGCTAACTCAGGAGCCGTCGGGGTCATGTACACTGGACAAGGACAATCACTTGAAATTTCATCACTCAGACTCCCGAGAACACACATCAGCGTGTGTGAAGTGAAGCTGCTCTGCGCTGATGCATAAGCAGATACTGGCAAACGTTCATTTCAAGGTTGTGGGTGAGCCGCTGGGTGCCTCCGCAGTTCAGCAGTTCAGCTCGGGGCCACTGAGGTTCATCGGGGGCGCAGCTCGCCAAGCGCGGTTAGGTTTCGGAGTTCCCTTCGCCGTTCTCGTGAGGCTGAAGCTGCTCCCTCTCTTGCTCTTCTTGAGGAGGTCGGACACGTTTAAAGAAGCCCATCTGCCAGTTAAAGAAGCACAGATCTCAGCGGTAACAGGACGCTCTGACCGTGTGTGACCGGCTCTGCTGTCACTGTCAGACGGTGCCGCTGTTTAGGCCCCACCTGAAACAGGCCGGCTCACCGGGCAGCCCCGCCCCTGCCTGCTTTCCTTTACTCCCTTCACCCTTTCCCGGCTCCCCCTTCCCCTTTTCCGCCACTCACCTCCCACCCCTTCGAAGCCCATCACTCACCCTGTACATCACGAACACCAACACAGCGAGCAGCAGCAGGCCTGCCAGAACCGCCAGGATGATCACCCACGCGGGCACGGGCATGGGCGCCGGCTGGATGCCCCAGGAGATGCTGGTGGTGACCTGGGGGACACCGCGCTTTAAACCACCCACAGGCTGAGCCACTGAGCGCACATCAGGTACCAACCGCGCTTGTGCACACACGCACACACACACACATGAAACTCCCTGCAACAGGCTGACCTCAGATGAAATGATTTGTAAATAACCCACTACAGACCAGGACAGGCGTTCCCATTATCAGGACTTCAGTGTCTTCAAAATACATTTACTTATTCTAGTTATTTATTGTAGTTAGTTTCCAACCTTGTAACTTTGTGGGGCAAAAGCAACCCCAAAATATCCCCTGACAAACTGTATACTTCAAAAACCCTGTTACAAAGAACAAGGACTAAAGGAAAAGGCCCCCTCTACGTGTAGACTAAGGGAGGGCAGGGCACAGTAAGGCAGGAGCCTGGGTCAGTGAGAGGACGCTTGGCCAAGGCACTCGGGCTCAGTCCTCGGTCCTGAAGGATGGACGGTGAAAATTGCTCTGAAAAAATGTCCCCTGACTCCAAAAGGAACACTGTGACACGGGCCGTCCTGTCATGACAGTTTAAAAAAAGAAAGAACTGTGTAATCCTCTCAAGTAACTTTATCGCTCTCGCTTACTGTAGTTAACCTTCCATCTAAAGCACTCTAAGGCGTCTACCCTGCATTCATTCACTCTCTGAAGCCAGCCACTCACTAGTGTGGAGTTGAACAGGTCCTCAATCGGAAGGTTCTTGTACGGAAACTCTATGATATTAAACGAGGCGGAAGACTTGAGGGCGTACGAATGGTTCTGGTTCTCCTTCTGCACAGAAACAACAGTGGGGTGGTTTCTTAGGAAGCAGGTCTTTGTTACCCACTTGAAAAACTGTGTAAGTCTGCCGGCACCTCTGTCTGCTTACGTTCATGAACGTCTCCGTCCAGAGCAGGGATCTCACATACAGGATGGCGCTCTTCCCTCTGTCCAGCCGCCCCACCTGGCAGACGATCTGCAAGCACTTAGCGGTCCCACAGCCCTGCCAGAACAAGGCACTTAAAAAGTCAGCGCGCACCATCTTTTCTAACGTTTCAACAGAGCATTCCTACGTGAAGGCCACAGAGAGACTGTATAGATTCTCCTTTCGTCTGGGCACGACACCTAACAGGCCAATAGTTAACTCCATGTTTTCTTTTGTTTTGTTTGCCTTTTAATTTTTTATTCTTCGCATATGTTACATACCATCGGTAGTTTCCCCTTCTTCTCCTTCCTCTAGTCCTCCCTCAGCCCCTCCCACATCTCCTCTCTCCCATTTCCACTCCTCCTCCCTTCCCAAGGAAAGAGCAGGCCTCCTGTGTTTTAATTTGTTTGTTTGCTTGTTTGTTTTGAGACAAGGTTTGCTACATAGCCTTGGTGTCATGGATCTCACTGTGGAGACTAGGCTGGCGCCAAACGCTCAGAGATCTGCCTACCCTTGCCTCCCCAGCGCTGGGATGAAAGGCATGTGCCACCACCCCTGGCAAAAAGCATTGTTTTTTATGTAAATTACTCTAGGAACATAAAATCTCGAATAATAGAAAGTTCATTTTTATGACAACTGCACATTCTTTGGGCCACCCTGAGCATGGCAACTTTAAGAATCGCAGCACAGTGACCCTGTGGAAAAGCAGAAAGCAGTGACCTTTACTGCTATTCTGTGTGAGGCCTGTGGGAAGAAATCACATGCCGATGACATCAGACACAGTTAGTGCTTTCATCAGGACCCTGAAGGCTGGCAGCCAAAGGAAACATCCTTCCACGTGCTGGTCACATCGCACCGTGTCACACGCGTGCTGTCCGGTGAGTAGCAGCAGCTGAGGAGCAGGAAGAGAAGCGAGCGCCCTCCACCTGACAGAGGGCATCCGTGAGAAAAGAGCAACTAACTCCACCCTTGACAGGAGTCCACGAACCAGGCAAGAGGTCGGGACGTGCCGCTTCCAGTCCAGTGCTCAGGTCTCGCCAGCGCAGCTCAGCAGCAACACAGCAAACAGATACAGAAAAGCCATCTCAGCAGATGAAAAGCTCTGACACATTAAAATTTCAAAAAAGACAGAAACAAGCAAACTGCACTAGAGCTAATAAAGACCGAGAGCAGAAACAAGAACAGAGCAGACTTTACAGGGCAAAAGTTGAACATACAAATACTACTTGGAGTTTGTACACCAGCAACAGCAGCAAAAAGAACACAGCAGCATGAATGCCCACGCGTGCAAAGCTAGTACACTAAAAACTAAGGGCTCTCTGCGCAAGCACTTTGAAAGGAGCTCAAGTGTCGTTGGAAGGAATTAACTAGGCAGCCTGTGTTCTAGAATGCCGGGGTTCTCAAACAGCTAACGAGGCACAAACGGCCCTAAGAAAGGTACAAGCTAACCCTGAAGTTCATAAGGAGTTGCTAAAAATTCCAAACAGCAAAATAACCTTAAAAAAGAAGAGAATAAGCCAAACATGATGGTACAAGCTTGCAATCTGGACACTCAGGAAGCTGAGGCAGGAAAATTAGCAGATGTTCTAGACCAACTTGAGCTACAGTGAGAAGAATCTATGTTTAAAAGAAGAAAGAAAGGGAAGTAGGGAGGTAGGGTGAAGACAGGAGTGGAAGGAGGGAAGAAGGGAGGAAGGTGTGGAGGGAGGGAGGGAGGGAGGGAGGGAGGGAGGGAGGGAGGGAGGGAGGAATTTCTAAACACGCCGTAGAGCTACAATAATGAAAACAACTCGTTGTCATCATTAAGAATGCACATGTAAATCAACAGGATAGATAAGCAAGAAGTGGGAGTGGATCGGTCGGTAAAGTACCTGGTAAGCAAGGGTACGGAGCTGAGTTCTGATCCCCAGCACCCACACAATAAAATCAAGGAAGCACATGCCAGTTCCCACTGCTAGGAAGGAAGAAACAGGAGCATCCCTGAGGCTGGCCGGCCAGCTAGGCTAGCCAACGGAAGAGCTCCAAGGTCAGTGTGAGACCCTGTCTCTACAGAACGCACTAGAGAGAGAACTTTAGTCTAAAGAGGTTAACCAGACAGAAGGAAGCGAGGAACTGGTCTGCCTCAAGATCCAGCTATACTGCTCTCAGGTAAATACCACAGGACCCCTACACCATACTGCAGAGAAATACCCATAAAATGGCTCCTATCCATACATCAGTGCGGAATTCAACCCCCATCAGAGCAGCTTCCAATTGCTGCAGACAGATGGGAGTTAACACAGAGACCCACAACTAGACAACGTGCAGATAGTGAAACACTGAAGCAGGGTCCTACAGGACGTCTTTATCAAAGCCCTCCCCACCTCCCCTTAAGGCAGAAAAGTCCCAAGCGCAGAGGGACGGTGATGACTGAGGAAGCAGTGTCCTCTGGCGACAACAGGACTGCACGTATGAAGTGGCAAAGTGTGGCAGCATCCACAAAACCAGCTCAGACGCAAGCCAAAGGGGTCCCATGCTGACGGGGTGGACGAGGTCCAGCCCTAGCCAAGAGGTTATCCCGACTGATACCCAGGGGCAAAGAAAAACTAGTTTTCCCCAGCGGAGTCTCTCTGGGTAATGAACCACACTAGGGCAGGCCCCGGTCAGGAACACTTGCCAACACAAGAGACACTCAATAGTGCTTTTCGTCACTTTGCTTGGTTTTGTCATATTTTTATCTTATTGGTCTGTGGGGTTTTTTTTCCCCACTATTTTGTGTTTTTGTGAGTCTGTGGGTTTAAATTTTTTTTTCTTGTTTTCTTTTTTTTTTTTTTTTTTCCAATGAGATAGAAAAAAGAACACAAAGCCGGGTGAGTAGGGAGGTGGGAACAATCTGGGTGAAATTTGGGGAGGGAAAACCTTATCAAGATATATTATATGGGGATACAAGTGAAAGACCTGTGATTAAAATAATAAAAACGATGTATTATATGAAAATCATTTCAATATGAAAAACTACTACTATCTTTCGTTTTTCAGAGCAAAGCGGGAAAGGAAGAAACCAGGTGTGGGAGGCGGGGCGCAGACAGCTAGCAAGGGCCTGGAGTGCATGAGGTTCACAGACGACTGTATCATAAAGCCTGTCACATTACACGCTCTGACAAGCTCGCATCGGTATTCTGTTTTCAGTTAAGTGGGCCTGCGCGTGGGTATGTGAGCATGAAGGCAAGGGTCCTTTGACAGAGGTGCTGGCTCTGTCTGGAGCTGTCGTCACAGGGAGGCTACTCAGGTCCTCCGGAAGAGCACCGGTGCCCCTAACCACCGAGCCGTCTCTCCAGCCACCCGCAGATTCTCTGAGTCAACCAAGAAAGCCCTGAAGGGACCTGCAGTGACGCACATCAAAGGCCCCCCCCTCAGGTTGCATGACAAATAAACTCCAGGGGAGATAGGGGCCGAGAGTGAGGCCGCGGCTGGTGAGTCACCAGAAGGAAGGTGGTCTAGGGCGCACAGCAAGGACTGGAGTGGTGCATGGGCTAGATTAGGTGTTTTACACAGCAGACGGTGCTGTAATCAACAGACCGCAGAGGGTAGACACTGAGAGACAAAGAGGAAGGATCTGTACAGAGTACGTGTGGAGCTCTGTGGACAGAGGAGCACTGGGAAAACGCCATGATGGATTTTTATATATTTTTTTCTGATAGACATTTAAGAGGAATTCTTTTTCGTTTGTTTGTTTGTTTCTCTGTGTAGCCCTGGCTGTCCTGGACTCACTTTGTAGACCAGACTGGCCTCGAACTCCCAGAGTGCTGGGAGGCGTGTGCCACCGCACCCGGCTTTAAAGGAACTCAGTTATATAGAAACAGGTTTGTGGGCTAGCAGGTAAAGATTCTCATCACCAAAACTGAGGACCGACATGCTGGAAGCAAAGAAGTACCTGACTCAGTTAAAGTGAAGGCATTTAGCTAATTATTCCCTTCACACGCTTTCACCACTGGGCCCCTGGTTCCTCCTGCAGAGTGGCACTAAAGTGTCAAAGAGAAAGATGAGATCAAAAAAGTCCAGCTGGAAGGGCAGTCAAGAAAGTCAGAATACTTTATGCTTTCTTTAAACAATCTATGAAATGGATCGGTTGAGAGTGGCATTAACTTAAGTAGGGATAAAGAACACGAGGAGGAGGGTGCGGGGCACGCTGCGGCTGGCACACTGTATTTTTAGATGTTCACCCTTGGCGCACCTGTGATGACACTTACCAAAGTGTGAACGTCCCCCTCGCCGAGGGCGAGATCCCGCTTGGTGAGGAGGTGGTTCCGCCCTCCCTGTCCTGCCGCGGTGTCATTCTTCTCTGGAGTCTGCAAGGACGAGACAGGAGGACACCGTCAAAAGTCTACACGGCAGCGGAGAGACATTTGGACGCTGATACTCAGATGTGATCAGCAGGCTGACTGTGAAAATGTGTGACAGGAAGTTTGCCACTGAAGAGTGAACAGAAAATAAGAGCTCAACACCATGAGCGTAGCCTACGCGTGATACCTTTTCCTAACCCTGCTTTTCCGCGCACCCCTGGAGGGAGACTGACCCCAGCGCTGAAAGGGCCTGAATCTACAGTTCGTCAATGATCAGTGTCAATTAGGACTTTGGAAACAGAGTATTACTATATAGCCCAGACTGGATTTGAACACAAAATATAATAGCAGATAATCTGAAACTTGTTATGGGTTTACAGGTATGTGCCATCGAGCCTGGCTTGATGACATTACTGAGCGGTGACTTTTCTTTCTTTTCTGACCTTTCCTTAGACTATACATGCTGTAATGCTTTATTAATTTATTTGTTTATTGATTTTGGTTTTTCCAGACAGGGTTTCTCTGTGTAGCCTTGGCTGTCCTAGAACTTGTAGACCTGGCTGGCATCCAACTCAGAGATCCACCTGCCTCTGCCTCCTGAGTGCTGGGATTAAAGGTGCGCCTTCACCACCCAGCCTGATATAATGTTCTCAGGTAAATACATATTCTAGAACCAAGATAGAACATTTGATAAACTGAGATTGCAGAGGGCCAAGGTAAAGAGTACTTCCCGAGGCTTACCGAACACCCACAAACATACGGTTTACACAGATATCCCAGAACTGACCCTTACTTATTGCATGAATGGGCTAATTTTTAGTGTACTAGTTACAAACTAGAACACTTTTTGCAGAGTTCATACATTAAAATAGCTGTTTGTACTTCATGTGTTTCATTTATACGTATAGGAAGAAAATGAAAAGTCGCGATCACGGAGAGCTGCTTTAGGCACGCTACCGTGATTCTCAAAGGGTTGATCTCTGTGTCCGCCGTGCAGTTCATCGGCCCATCAATGTCGTAATGAAGAATGTACAGCAGAGTGTTGTTGTTGAACTTGTAAGGCCACTGGAGATTTAGGATTGCCTTGCTGAACGAACTCGGACCATTGTTCCTCAGCTGATGAGGAAATGAAAATGTAAGCACCTCAGACAACACTTAGTTCTACAATCCTTTCACATTTAGAAATCACGTATCAACCACAGGATCGGAGTTGCAGCAACTTCTACAGATAGATTTTAAACACGACTGTTACATACACAGGTAAAATGATGTTTCTCTCTCCAGTACAGAAAGATCATCAGGATGAAGATGTAAAGAAGACAGTTAAGACATTACTGAGCGGTGACTTAGTAGCTTTCGGATAGGTTATAAAACTTTGCTTAACTACAGGCATTTCCAGTTCCTAGTAGGAACTTTAAAATGTCTGGAGCATGCCCAAGGGCTATCTCTTTTATTCAAACAGAGCTTGAAGCACAGAAATATCTGTTTACAGAAATGAAGTTACAAATACTGCTTCTGGCACATGTCCAAGCCGTGCAATCTCCACATCAAAGTTACATAGGACTGGCTTTAAAAGGAGTTTGGCTGCTCTCTCCTGTGGCCCCTTCACTAGCTTTCCGCTGGGTCCAGTAACTGCAAACCTCATAGATGTGCTGAACCGCAGGCCCGACATCTTCTTCGGTCTCGGGGTTCTCCTTGGACTCCCAATTTGGAATTGGAAGAAAGATATGGTCTGGACTTGAAACTCTAAACAATGACCAAAGAAAACCTACCGTGAATATCAAACAACACAGACAGTTCATTTCCCCAAGCGTCTACATTCAACTGAAGAAAATCCAATTTAAAAAGCCTTAAAGGAAAAGCTTGTGAATGGACACCAAATCTACCGCTGCTAAGTTGCTGTGCGTCACGTGAACCGGTAAGCAACTGCTGTGAAAGTTCAACCAACATATTTTGAGACTGTTGCTACCGTGCCTTTTCGTAAGACATGTGGACTCTGGAGCACGCTCAGGGCCTGGTCTCTACAGACTGCTGCCTCGGAAGAGCAGCACCGCGCTGGGGCCCTGCTCACACGAAGCGGGGCCTAGCAGCTCCTCTCAGAAGCAAGCACACAATGAGATGTGAGAGATTCGCACTCACCCTCTTATCTCAACAGCAGCCAAGACAGCAAGGTCAACTCTGTAAGACACAACTGGACTTACGTTGTCAAAAGAATTAGAGCTGAAAAAGGGGAAAAAACATGCTTAGAATTGAAGTCAGCACATTTATCATCAAAGCCATAAAAGAGAAAACTCAGTGGAACTAAAACTAGAGATTTCAAAGCAGCACATAAACTGAAGCCCTACTGACCAAGCAGTTACTTTAATCACCATTTAATTCAAGTTATTAGTTAGGAAAGTTTTATTTCCTGATGTTTAATTTTGTTTTATAAACTCAAATTGACAACAGAACCATTTGTATAGTTAAATACTGATTTAAGAATCCTATAATACAGTGCTGAAATTTTAATCTACATTATTCCACCTTTAAATGGTAGTATTCAACATATCTGTAAGAAAAAATGGCTATTTTATCTTACTATTTTGTTTCCACACCTTTGGATTTTCAGGTCAAACTTCACAGAAGTGTCCATCTCTGACTGCTGATGCACGCTGAAACGCAGGCCAGCGAGCAGCTGAGGGGAGGTGACGACAGTGAGTGTCTTCTTTAAATTGGAAACTTCAAATTTGACATCCAAATTAAAAGTGTGTTCTACATTATACTTTTTGTGAGTTTATGGCAAAAGTGAACAAGAATAATTACATCTGATGGTCCACTGAAGTAGGAATGGAGGCTGCTTAACAATTAACAGTTACAGTCATGCCTCCCTATGGTATGACTTTCTGAAAATTACAATTTTCAATTCCAATGAAGGCCCTGCACAGTTGAGTGTGAGACTTGACTGAAGAAGGTGACAACCGACTTGAGTTAAGAAGCCAGGCAGGGAACCGGAGGGTTTAAGTGTGCAGAGTTAGGGGGTTGGACAAAAAGCAGAACCTCCCTTCAGACCTGGCCCAGTCCCCTTCCCAGCACCTTTAGTCCCAGCACTTGAGGGGCAGGGGCTGGTGAATTTCTGAGTTCGAGGCCAGCCTGGTCTACAGAGAGAGTTCTATGACAGCCAGAGCTACACAGAAAGAATGCTATCTTGAACAAACAAAAAGTAAAAAAAGAAAGAAGAAAGAAAGAAAGAAAGAAAGAAAGAAAGAAAGAAAGAAAGAAAAGAAAGAAAAGAAAGAAAGAAAGAAAAGAAAGAAAGAAAGAGAGAGAGAGAAACTAGGAACTAAAGGAGCCATGAGCTAGAAGACCAGAGAGAACGAGATAAAAGGCTCTGCCCTGGGAGCATCTGTGCAGAAGAATGACTCCTGTGAAACCACAATTCAAGCCGCGTGCAGTGTTTAGGCCTTGGCAACACGTGTGCACAGACCTGGCATCAGTGCGCCACGCAGGGAACCGCATGGCCAGTGCCACACGCATGATTCGCCTAGTGCCAGTAATACACACACTGCTTGCTTTCTAGAGGACTTGAGCAGAGCCTCCCTGGGGACTTGGCTCCCTGTTCACCATGAGAACGGGAGCCTGGTCCACCTAAATATCTCCTAGGAGGTGAGGCCTCAGTCAGCGAGTAACACCATCTCACCCAAGAGGGGCAGGCCGTGGTGCTTGCTAGGGTGGCTTTTAGGTTCCAGAAGCACCTCGGCTCAGAACACTAAAGTTGTAGTTTTAGCCCTCAATTTAAACCAGGTTTTTGTCTATCTACCAGATTTACGGCAGTGTGAAATGAAGGTAAGTGTATGGAAGGGCATACAGTTCCACCTATAATTTCAGCATCCCAGTTAAAATGAACAGAGTTCTGCTAATAATTAAACTCTAACTCAAAACTAATTTAAAGACACTACTCTGAGGGCAGGTGAAATGGCTCAGAGCGTAAAGACACTTGTTACCAAACCTGAGTCCAGTGCCCAGGACCTACATGGTGGAAGGAGAGGATCAGCTTCCAAAAGCTGTCCTGTGACCTCCTCACAGCGTGTGGTCGTATTCTTTCATGCATTTGTCAGCATAAAACACACACACACACACACACACACACACACACACACATACACGATGCTCCCCAGAGCCACCATGGTGATGCCCATCACCCTTGCAATGGCAGCACTCAGGGGGCAAAGCCAGGAGGAACTTGAGTTTGTGGCCATGCTGAGCCTGTATAGCAAGACCCTATCTTAAAAACACAAACAAACAAACAAACAAACAAACAAAAAAACGGGGCTAAGTATACAGCTCAAGAGCAGGGTATTTTCCAAGTATGTGCAAGACAACGGTAACAAAGAAAACCCAACTTATTTAGAAACTACTACAAACAAAGGGAAAAAACACAGAGTATTCTATTTACGGGGGGGAGGGGGTCCATTCAGTTAAAACCTCTTACTTGAGTCCCAGCCTACAGGGGGGGAGGGGGTCCATTCAGTTAAAACCTCTTACTTGAGCTCCAGCCTTCATGGGGTTTCCAAGGTCGCACACCACCTGCCGCGTTTGGTTCTCTGTCTTAAATGCACACGAAAGCCTCGCTAAGGCCTTTGATAGATGAAAAATAATTTTAAAAAAGATGACTGAGGTTGGGATGGAGAAAGAAAATGAACAGTTTCTGCCAAAAAAGCATAAACTACAAAGCCCCCTCGCCACTACTGTGTAGATATTTAAATTCCTTTTTTTTTTTTTTAATGAAGCACAGAAATCTGAGCAAATAGAGAGAGAAGCCAGAGCTGTCACGCTAGTTGCGTGTAAATGTACAAGTGCCGGGAAGAACCCGGAGGACTTATTCTCGTCACCCCTGATGGGCAGGTGACGGGCAGGTGATGGGCAGGTGACGCTATCTAGCTGGGGCTTCTCTGAGCGCTGCCCGGGTAACTCTGGGAAGACCTCGGCTGTGGCTTTCCCAGAGGCGCCGTGCTTACATCACTGTTGCGGACAACCCCGATGAAATCAGCCTGCGGCGGGATGGAGACGATGAGCTCAGCCTCGTAGGCCCCCTCCCCTTGGTTCTGCGCCGCCACCGTCAGCGTCAGGGGGTTGTCGTCCCCAATGTACACCTTCTTCTGATCGCTGGAAGTTAACAGGTCCAACAGTGAAACAAGGGGGGCCCGAGCTGCTGCCGCACTGCTCGACACAGAGCAGACACTGGCGCGCTGGGCGCAAACCCGTGCTCCTCTCTCTGCGCGCTCACACCAGTCCCACGCCAGAGCTGTGCGTGCGTTACCAACGCCTCCGCACATCTGCGCATGTACTTTGAGTCCTTGACTTTTAGGCTGAAACATGAATTAGTCTCCCCTGGGACATATCAAGTGGTAAGCATAGTCTCGGTTCAGAGCAGCCAGGCGGTAAGCAGGGCCCAAGCTAATGGCCACACATCTGCCAAGCCAGGCACCTAGTGGTGTTTTTTAACCATGGTGCTAATTCCTGCACTGTGAAGACAGCCATGGACTATCCTTTACTGTAAGTCATTCTCCTTAAAAAAATAAATAAATAAATAACATTTTGAATAGAAAAGTGTGCTTTTCCACTTAAATTTCTTATATTTTTATATCTACTGTTTAGAGAAAAACTTACCTATCTACAGAAACTTCCAGTTTAGGCTTACAGACATTGTCTTCCCCACAGTCAAGGAGAATATGAGCCTAAAAGAAAAACATCTCGTTATTTTCTACATGGATCCTAGGCACTCATCTTTAAACATGTCAGTGTAGGTAATCCAGAATAAGGAAAAGAAAAAAGAATGAAATATAATTACTGAAAATCTTTTATATCCGAAATTAGCTGTTAACACTTTAGAATAAAGTCTAGTACAGAAATGAGGGCTCATTTTAACGTGCTCCTGGCTAACCTATATGAATAGGGACAAAATAAACTTCCTTGAAGCGCTCCTCATTAAGACGATGGCCTCAGCAGCTATCACAGAAACTGCCTGCAAATATTTAGTAAGGAGAAAATGGTCAAAATAAGCCCAGTATGTTCAAACCCACAGGGAAAGAAATGAAAACAAACAAACAAACAAACCAGGAGCATTAATAAACCAGAAGAAAATAGCAAAAAATCTAAACTTGTTTTTTATCTGGCTCTGGCCAAGGGAATGTGCCACAAAGAATAATATGGAAAAAGCCTCCAAAGAGAAAGAATGCAAGAACACAGATCTTGGTAGAATATACAGAAGGAACAAAAACAGAAAGGAAAAAAAGAAAGTAAAGGCAAAACCAAGAGGTTTATTTGCTGCAATTTAGTGAGAGTTTATCTTAAAAAAAAAATAATGATAATGATAAAGATTCCTAAAATAATTATAAAACCCTAAAGAAAAAATAGTCATAGCCCATATCAAAACGCGTATTGTAAGGCACAGGTAAAAAGTTATTTCTAAAGAAAGTACCACCTTAAACACACATACTAAGAATTTCAGTTGTTAATTTAATTTAAATTAACCATCACTACAACACCCATCCACCCCCAAATAACAACTGCAAACACAGAACTATGTTCACAAGTTCATTACTAGTTGATAGTATATTTAAAAAAGGCACATAGAGTAAATTATCAAGGCACGAAACATGTTTGTTAAGATATATAAATTACAAATACGCTTTTAAAAGCTTTCAGCTTGCCCTCTGTGTTCTCAAATTCTACCCCCAGAAATGAAAGCCGCTCGTGAGATCTTAAAGAGGCCGTTAAGAAATGACAACCGAGGTGTGTGCTTACGAACGCTCTGAGAGGCCTAGTTTTATGGAATAAAACGGAGGACAGAGACAGGAAATCAAACTTAGAGGGAGGGTTTTTCCAAACCAGACTGCTTGAAACTGCGTCACTTGATGAAAACAGTTACCTGTGGGAAGCCAAGGAAGGCCAGAGTGAACAGTCTGTGCCTTGTGTCACCTGGGCAACTTCACAAGGCCCCAAGCGTCAGACCCACAGGAATAGCAAAGTGTCAGGTGATCTTTTAGTGCACTCTGTAAAGACTGTCCCTGTGTCATGCAAACGCTGACCTCTGTGCCAGCACGGAGCGGGGTACAGGCCTTCGGTATCGGTGTTCTTCTGCATCATGTGTAGTGAACATGCATTTCCCTCACTCCTGACTGGTTCAATAAAGAGCTGAGCGGCCTATAGCAAGGGCAAGAGAGGAAGGCAGAACTTCCAGCAGAGCCGGGACTAGAGCCGGAGATGGACCGGTGACAGGCCGCGTGGTGGGACGCAGGCCAGGCCAGCGAAGTTAGGTTACCATAGCGGAGTCTGCCCGGCTGTAATGCCAGAGGCTTACAGCGAATAGCAACGGTCACTGCTCACTGCTTAGTCTCCAAACCAGCAAAGCCTTCCACTGGCAGCATGTGCAAAAGCGGGCCAGTGAGGCACCCTCCTCCCACAGGCCTAGTCTCTCATATAACACACACACACACACACAAACAATGGACACCCACGACAAAAGAGGCATTGAAGATGCTTAGTAAGCACTAAAAACCGCATATAAATAAACTGGTCTTCTGTTGTTTCCTTTGCCTCATTTTACTATTCTACCTAGATGAAACAGCCCTGCCTTTCGGTGTCTGTAACTATCTGGATTGTTTCCCCTCTGGCCTCTTAAACATCTACCAGCACTGTGAATCCCTTATGATTTGACATATGACAGACAGGTCAAAGGGTGGGGTGAGCTGTAACTCGCGGCGCGTTACCTGCCGGCTGACGTTGGCAGGGGTGAACTGGTTCAGGATGGGTTGCAGGCCTGTTGCATCGGCAGCCGCTCTCTGGTCCAGCCGGTACTCCATAAAGACAGTGATGGGGGTGAGCTTGTCCCTAAATTCAGATTCATCCTGAAACCAAGGAGCATCAAGGTAAAGATGACACCACCCTAACTACCTGGAGAAACCCACAGCCAGAGGAACCATGAAACCAGCTAGAACCTGTTCACTGCTAGAACCCTCAACCCTAAGAACTCCGAGAACCTGTGATGGCTGTAGTGAGCATAGAGCAAAACTCACGTGGCTGATCAGTAAGAACTATTCATCAGGGTTAGTGGGTTTTTTCTTTTAAAGACTTACTTTATGAAGTATACAACATTCTGCCTGCATGTGCACCTGCAAGCCAGAAGAGGGCACCAGATCCCATCATAGATGGTTGTGAGCCACCATGTGGCTGCTGGGAATTGAACTCAGGACCTTTGAAGAACAGCCAGCGCTCTTACCCTCTGAGCCGTCTCCCCAGCCCCCCAGGTTTAGTTCTATGATGTAAAATTTCACACAGCACGTTAATTGTGAGCCAGTGTTCTCTAAAGAAACCACATGTATGTAACAGCCTGCCGCGAGCTGACTCCTGGCGATGATGGAGAGGTGTAGTGCGCAGACACACAGCCAGAGTTCTTACAGGCTATTCTATTTTTTTTTTTAATTTTTCACTAGTTCTTTTTAAAAACCCTTTGCTATACATCTCTGCATCTGACTTACTTCTGCCATCGTTAGCTCAAAGCATTGGAATCCATCCGTGAGCCTGTGGGTCTCTCGCCTCCAAAGGGCAGGATGAAGATCTCAATACTGCAGTTCCCTCCCTTGTTAAGCTGATCCCTTATAGTGACAAGATTCAGCAGTTCTGTTATCGCATTATTTAGTTGTCAAAATCGCCGTAACAACTAAGGCTCGGCAGCAGCAAATGAATCTCCTGTTACCACACCCTGACTAGTTAGCAAATATTGGTAGACTTAGATTAAATTTAAATTTGGACCTGTTCACATTCGTGACTGTCTCTTAAATCCTGAACAGCTCATCGGATCAGGGGTTTTTTTTTCCTATGGCTATGGTCTTGTTTTTTCCCTTCTTTATTCATGTAGAAAGCTTTCCTTTTAAATTTTTTTAAAAGATTTATTTATTATGCATACAGTGTTCTGCCTGCATGTGTACCTATGCACCAGCAGAGGGCACCAGATCTCACTATAGATGGTTGTGAGCCACCATGTGGATGCTAGGAATTGAACTCAGGACCTCTGGAAGAACAGCCAGTGTTCTTAACCTCTGAGCCATCTCTCCAGCCCCTGCTTCTAAATTCTTAATGTTAGTCCCCCTAAAATGAATTCACCCTGGTCTACTTATTAATTTGGTGACCTGACATATGGCAAGCTTCATAGAACATTTAGAAAACTTAAGGTTGTTTACTATCAGAAATGGCTCATTACTAAATTGCAGTATGGCATAAAAAAAAATCATTGAGGCTTAATGTTCTTTTGTGTAAAGATTTTTTAATGGACATTTGGGATGTGGAGGCAGGAGGATTGTGAATTCAAGGTCATCCTCAGCTACAAAGCAAGTTCAAGGACAACCAAGATGCCAGGAGATAATCTCAAACACAAACAAAACTCCAAATCTAATCCCAATGAATGTTCCATTTTTAAAATATCTTCTTATGGCAGACATACTGTGTATGTCTAAGAATTTTTCTCTTTTTATCCAAGTTTTCCTATATATTGGTTATTCAGGAAAATTTTCCTAATTTAAGTCCCAATTTTATCTATCATTTCCCTTTTCAATTTCAAATTTTATGTGTTTGTTCGTTTCTTTTCAAATTTGCCAAAGATTTCATGTAAATTAAAAGGCATTTAAAGTATGCATACATTTTCCCTATATTCTACCGAAAGCACACTGCAATTATCAAGGTAATGTTGGACATACTTTTAAAGAGATTGTGGGAAGCTGCTTCTTTTCTTTGCTTCTAGCCATGAAACCTGTGTGCGTGCGTGCATGTGTGTATGTGTGTGTGTATGTATGTGCTAGGGCAGGGAGAGTGTTGGTTGTCTTCTTTTGTTAAAAGGAATCCTATGTGGCTGGAGACATGGCTCATTTGACAGTACTCTTACAAAGAAACCATATTCAGTTCCCAGCACCCGCATGGCAGCTCGTATATGTAACGGCAGTTATAGAGGATCCCGAGACATCCCTGGCTTCCACAGGCACCAGGTACGAACTGGTACACATGCAAGTAAGACAACCATACGTGACAGACAAACAAACAAACAAACAAAAAGTTCCTGCTTGACGGAGCATCACCTGGTTCCCAGACTGGCCCTCTCCCATGCGAGGGCCCTGCCCTCCGTCATGCCAGAGTCAAAATGGATCTCGTGCCGCCCCCTTCAGTGTCAGGCCACGATCAACAAGTCCCACGCTGCGGAAGGCTCCAGTGAAACCCAGTGCCTGCCTGACGTCTACAACCATCCCTGCTCCGAGCTCCATCTCTTGCCAAAGTAGGCTCACACCATAGTTTACCTCTCAGATTTTAAACTTAGTCACTGGGGATTTCGAGCGGATTGCTTACTTTCTGGGCACTGAGAGTTTTACAGGCAACATTTAAGAAATACGATCTTTTCATGGTTCATTCAGTAATACCACGGCGGAAAGGCATCTTCGAACATCCGTCTGCCCTCCTTGGTTAGCTTTGACACTGGAAACGCCGATTTCCTCAGGCGTGTTCCTCTGAGCCTTTCATTTTGGCTAAACACCAACTTACAGAAAGGAAAAGCCATGTGCCCAAAAGAGGCGTCCCTTACCCGCAGGTAGGCGACCAGCTCCTCACACTGCATCTGGCCCCCTCTGAGGACAGTCATGTTCTTGGAGTGCCCTGGGGACCTGCTGTGGAGAAACAGTGCCCGCCGGATGGCTCCCTTTTGCTTGAGCTTGTCCAGGAGGAGCTCCACCTGGAAGTCTGGACAGAGCAGAGCATCTATAACCACAGGCTCCTCTCCGGCGGCCTCTCACCTTCCAATCTCCGGCCTTCCTGGAGGCAGAAAACTAACTTGCTTCTTAATTCAGTAAAATGCCTAAGCGTTGTGGGGAGAGAGCGACCAATTCACCCCAGAAACTAATGGCTAAATAATTCACCTGTCTCCCCAAACTGTCATATGCGATTGTAATGACGGTAATGAAACCACATTATCAGAGGGGGAAACACTGACTTGAAGTAAGCTAAGGGAAGGACATCCATGGAATGAAACAGAAATAAAGACTTTCACCCCTGCTGAGAGGCTCGTGAGACCCTGGGTTCCACTCCCTCATCATACAGAACGGCACACACCAAACACACAAACACACATTAGCCATGGAAGTAGCAAGCACCCTGCTGATCCTGGGAAGCATTGGCTAGTGCGCATCTATTTCATGATACTGAGTCCCCGGAGCAGTTTACATCACTTGAACAGGCTTTCCAGCTGGTCTTTAAGGTGAGACCTGACTACGTGCTCCTGAAGCACGAAACCAAAGAGAACCCAATGGGTTAAGAATTATTTAAAATGAATCTGCAGGCAACTGTTATAATCACTGCCTCCTAATGCTTATTTCCCTAAGCAGCTTTTCTTGCTTGCTTGTTTTTTTTGGTTGGTTTGTTTGTTTTTGGTTTCTCTGTGCAGCCCTGCCTGTCCTGGACTCGCTTTGTAGACCAGGCTGGCCTTGAACTCACAGAGAACCACCTGCCTCTGCTTCCCTGAGCACTGGGATTACAGGCGTGCTCCACCGTGCCTGGCACTTAAGCAGTTTCTTAAAAGAAGTCTATATTGCAAACTCTAAAACATCTGCATAGCTGCTTGCCTCTCCCTGCAGCTTCTCAAGCACACTGAGCTCACTCACTGTGGGTGTGACACAGTCCTTCGGACACCCCTCAGCTCGTTTCCCTGTGCTGTCTGCGTCAACCCAGGGGGGTCCTGCCTGCACATCACAGGACAGCTCTTCCCGCATCCCTCTCCGCCATGTCTGTCTCCCACTCTGCAGCAGCACTCACCGTCCACCCACCCGGCAAACCCTGCTCTCAGGACTGCATCAGCCATTCCAGCAAACCGTCCACCCTTTCCACAGAAGGCTAAGGCCTTCTCCTGTCTCAGTCGAGCATAGACTCAAACAGTGACGTCTCCTCCAGACCTCATTCACCTCGCATCCTTAACCACTGAACATCCTCACACTCACAATGTCCGGGAACAAACAGACCGCACATGAACCTGCCTGCGAGCTGCCAAAGAAAGCAATTACCTGTGCTTACGTATCTGAAATGTCTTCGGGCACAGACATTCGGATTAAAATGATAGTGGCGACCTCAGCCGCCGTACCGTGCGCCCTGAAGTACCGTACCCGTGGTCCCACTAGCACACGGACTCTGCCCAAGATACTCACTGAGCTTCCTCGGAAGTGTTCCTTTGCCGTCCGCCTTTAAGCAGAACCTGACATTAAAGCTGCAAGATAGATGTGTTCAGGTGTCAGCCCTGTGAGGCACAGCACTGGATACCGCCCCAACCTCACACTGCTAACGTAACTATCCCTTCGTGTCCAGCGTGGGTCGAAGAACCAGCCTCTACTCCCCAGACACCAAAACCAGTGGGTCCTGAGGGGCTGGTTCACACGGCACGGTGTCTGCACACGGCCGACGGCCTCCACCGTTAGGTCATCCACAGAATGGTAGCAAACCTCAAGCGATGGAGGTAATGCCTTAGTGCTCCTGCAGTGCCTAATCACGTACTGCGTGTCTGCGTGTCTGTGCTGTGTGTACAGGGACGCGAACACGGGGGAGGAGCCCGCCCATCAGACACACGGAGGCAGAAGTCCTCGGCATCTTCCTCTATCATTCCGGCCTAATTTTTGAGGCCTGGCTTCCTGTTCACTGCAAGTCACTCTACGGCCACCGTTCTAAGAGCCTGAGGGCTCTGGCATAAAATGGTCGCGTGTGGGCACACACTGGCTGTCCCACCGGAGGTGTTCGGACTTGACTGAACTGGCAGCACGCCCCTGACTCCTCGGGAGAAGTGAGTGCAGTACTGACAGCTGAAGCCTGAACTGCTTGCTTGCTCACCAACAGACAAGGAGCTAGTGTCCCGTGTCCTTTAATGTAATCCAACGGAAAGTAAGTGCAGACTTCCTGTGTTTGTGGGAGTAAGGCAGGCGGGAGGGCCAGGAAAATGCCCTTCTCCCTCTCAGACTCTCCAAACGTTCTCCTCTCTGCTCATGTGTCTCATTGCACCGTAAGCTCCAGCTAACTTTGCTGTGTAAGGACCATGAAAGATGTCCCTCAAGCCAAGCTGCTCTCACTATACAGGAGTCAAGACTTTTTATTAGTTAATTTTTATATTTGTTTTGACATACATGAAAATGTTTTAGTTTTTTAAATTACATGAGTTGATTTAAATAAAGGATAACTATAGTACAGTTAAATGAAAATGTAGCCAAAATCGTTAAAATTTCCTATGCAAGACAAAAAAAGAAATTATGATACAGAGAACTCAGACACTAAATTTATGAAAAATTGTGTATATGCATGTGTGTGTGTCTGTATAACAAGCAAAAGACCAACAAAATATTAGAGAAAAGTAATTTTTGTAACATTATATGAAGTCTGAGAATACACTTCTGACCATACTTAAGACATTAAAAATCACTCTCATAATAGCTTATAAGCTGCTTACGGAGCCTTCCAGCGCTTAGAAACTCAGCTTCCATAGTCTATCCTGTGACGTGGGTGTAGGCTGCATTCATAGAAAGTGCCTCAGCGACACTTCGGCCCTGCCAGCTCACGCTGTGTAGCCTGTACAATGAGTGAACTGTTAACCATCCCAACTACAACTAAACAGAGATCCTTACCAGGAAACTTTGAGAGCGGTCCCAGGCAACGAGCAGAGTTTATTCTCTTGATTTAAAATGCTAGGGTACACTTCAAGGCCAGCATTTACGGTGACAACGGGTCTGGCTCTGGTTTTAAGTTTTAAAATGAAGGGGGGG